TCCTGCCCCCTGTCCAGCATGTACTTTGTGACATCTGCTTGTCTCCCAGAGGCTTGTTTTTGCCGAAGATCTGCCCCCTGTGCCTGTGACACCAAGGGTCTCAGTTGCTAAGATTGGATGCAAATCCACCCGCGTGACAGAGGACTGCTCTAACTGGCTTTGACTTCCCTGGTATTGCAGACATGGTATTTCTTCAGCAATTGTCCTCTTACCCGCCCCTCGCTACTACTAATGTTTTGTGGCTTGGTATTCGGTGGCTGAATTTCTCTCCTGAAATATTTTAGCTTGCTTCTCCCAGATGCCCAGCTGACTTCCTCAAGTGCCTCATGAATCTCCCATGCAGAGCTCCTGCTCGTGTACGGCATCCCAATGCGCTGATCACAGCAGCCCAGTATCAGCCCTCTGCTGATCAATGTCACTTGCGTGTTTGTAACACAGCCGTCCACTGTGGTGATGTCAAGATAAATCATTGTTCAGAACCTGTTCGCTGGCAGAAGCCAGGGACCTCAGTGTGACCCCCTTTATTGTATAGGTGAGTACAACAAAGCCCAGGAGGTTAGGTGACTTTCTCACAGTCGCACAGTCAGAAATTACCTGACTAAATTGGGACTAGAATCCAGATTTTCTGGTTTTCACTTCAGTATTCTTTCGAACTCACCAAAAGCTATTTCTTTTCTTTTTTTAATTAAATTTTTAAACAACTTAACAGTGGTAAAATACGCATAACGTAAAATTTACCATCTTTACCATTTTGAAGTGTACAGTTCAGTAGTATTAAGTATATTCATATTGTTGTACAACCATAGCCATCATCCGTCTCCGGAACTTCTTCCATCTTCCCAGACTGAAGCTCTACCCATCACACACTCACTCCCCATTCCTCCCTACTCCCAGTCTTTGGTAACCACCATTCCACTTTCTGTCTCTATGAATTTGACTACTGTAGGTACCTCATACAAGTGGAAGCATACAGTATTTGTCCTTTTGTGTGATGGCTTCTTTCACTTAGCGTAATGTTTTCAAGTTTCATGGTAGCGTATGTCAGAATTTCCTTCCTGTTTATAGCTGAATAATACTCAATTGTATGTATGTACCACATTTTGTTTATCCGTTCATCTGTCAATTGACATTTGGGTTTCTCCCACCTTTTGGCTGTCTTCAGTAATGCTGCAATGAACATGGGCGTTCAAATATTTGTTCGCCAAAAGCTATTCCTTATGAAAATATAATTAGAGATACTTGCTGCTACCTACTGTTGCCACTTGTATTTTTTTTTCCTAATGGTTAAGTTTGGAAAATACGGAAAAACACACAGTGAAGAATATAAAAGTTGCTAATTTTATGTGGTATATACTTACAGGATTTTATACTCATGTTGCCCATGATTTTAAAAGTTTTATACAGACTGAGAGAGAATTTTAACAGGTAGCCCAGTCTGTGTATTAGGGAGAACGCTTGAAATATATTTAAGGGACAGACAGCATAAGAACTGAGTGTGACCTTGGCCAACCATGGCATTTTGGAGATGAGTTTATTCAAAGTATGAGCTTACCTTAACAGTAATACAGAGGGAACTTTTTGTGGGGGTGCTTCCTTAAGACTATTTTAACATCTTCTTTTAAAAAAATTTTTGTTGGAGTATAGCTGATTTACAATGTTGTGTTAGTTTCAGGTGTACAGCAAAGTGAATCAGTTACATCTATCTGTCTATCTGTATCTCAACTCTTTTTTTAGATTCTTTCCCCATATAGGTCATTACAGAGTATTGAGTAGAGTTCCCTGTGCTATACAGTAGATCCTTATTAGTTATCTATTTCATATATAGTAGTGTGTATATGTCAATCCCAATCTCCCAATTTATCCCTCCCCACTCCCTTACTCCCTGGTAACCATAAGTTTGTTTTCTACATCTGTAACTCTATTTCTATTTTGTAGATAAGTTCATTTGTAGTTTTTTTTTTAGATTCCACATACAAGTCAGACAGAGAAAGACAAATATCATATTTTAACATCTTAATAGAGTATCTTACTGCTAAGAAGAGTCGAATTTTGAATGGGGGTCTTTCCCAGTCACATTTCTTCAATATCCACTAGAGGGCAGTAAAAGACATAAAAATTTTCAACAGGGCCGATGAGTGCCTGGCAATCAGGTCACTGCATCCTCTTTGCATCTCTCTCAGCTCTCCGTGCATACAGTTACAAGATGATGAATTTCACATCCAAGAGTATGTTTGGGTGAAACTGGCGATACCATCAGCTGTAACCCAATTGCAAGTCTTCCTCACATTCAGGCTAACATTAATGCATAAAACTTCATTCAATGCGTTGGGCCCAGACTGTATTTTTATTTAATTCACGTTAGTCCAGCGATTCTCAAACGGAGTGAACGTCAGAATTACCTGTCATGCTTTTTCCCAAATACACATGCCCAGGTCTCATCCCAGATCTAGAAAATCCGAATTTCTGGGGCTGGGGCCTAGTTATATAGACTGTCTTTAGATTCTGGCCCATGAGGAGGGGTCACCCTTGAGTAAAACCTCAGAGGAAAGTGAATGTGAATTCTGGAATTTTTTTTTTCTCTTTTGAAAATAGAAGTTGCTGAAGGGTCTGGTGGCTTTGGGAACCACATGCAGAACAGCGATGAAGTTTTCCCATAAATGGTGCCTGTAGTAGACCAAGCCACGAACCCAGACAGAAGATCTGGCATTGAGGCAGGCCTGGCCAACTCAGGATCTACAGTTACAGTTCCAAGAAGGCCATGCTCCGGGACCAAACTGTGCAGAGTGAGGCCAGAGCTCAGATACTGTCTGCTATATTAAGAGAATCTTTCCTCTAGTATTCAGGGAAAAGAAACCTTTAATTTTACCTCAGCAGAGGAAAAGATGGCACAGAGGACCTGCCGTGAGGTCAAAAAGACTTCAGTTCTCATGCTAACCTTCCCACTAGCCAGTTAGGGAGCCCAAGGCAAGTTATGTCACCTCTCTGAGCCTCAGCTTCCCTGTTTGAATTATGAGAGGATTAGATACCATTGATCTCTGAGGATCCTTCCAGTTCTAAAAATTCAGTGATTCTATTAGTATTAATAACCTTGATTTGTATGGCTCTACTCTGGCAAAGAGCAGAAAAAATATTCAGTAATGCAACGAATGACAGAGACTATTGACCATGTAGTTTAATTTATTTAAGGCATATGCCCTGAATTCAAAGGAGAAAATATTGCAGCCAATAATATATTGAACCGTTAGTGTCTTCAGCATAGCAAAAGCTTTCCAGAGGGAAAAATTACCCATTAGTGCAAACTTGACATTTTTTACTTCCTGATCCATAACTGCCATTTCTCCAGTACGTTTATATTTACTGTAAAGGGCCAAATGTATGAATGCTTCAGGTGAATATTAAATAACTACATAAGCATCAAGGTCATTGTCGCAAAGAAGGCTCCGTGGAGGGCCCTGGGAGGCTGGCATTGATCTCCTGTGAAGTTCCATTCTCGAATCCTGCTGACAAGGGGAAACAGTTGGTGTGGACCATTATTAAAGCTTTAAGTGTTTCTCCATTGTTAAAGATCTTTTACAAGCCCGGAGTAACTGATAGTGCCCAAGGAATTGGCAAAAGCTTCACTTAGAAATATAGGCTGGTCAGAGAGATAAGTAAAACCCAGAACACAGTTGTCCTGGGTTGGGCTTACGCAGCAAAGGTGCGTATCCGGTGCGAGTCCAGCTCTGGGGCAAGCCGGCACCGCTCTGAGTTAGGGTTCAGAAAGGAAGGAAAGCTTGTTCAGGGGCTCTTTCACACCAGAAGCTGCAGAGAGAGCCGCTCCGTCTTTCAAATTCACCTTTAAATTTCCTCCAGCTTGTCCGCCAGGACAAGCGTCCGGGGCAACTGGGTGTGTGTGGAGTGACGCAGACCCGCAGATCCAGACTTAACTGCACTGGTCAAGTGCCCAGGGTAATTCTGTGGGTGTCCTGCTGCCCTGGAGCTAGGAGGAGAGCAAATCTTAGGATGACAGAATCCGGTTTCAAAAGGTCTCAGCAGATTAAAGGATTGGCTGAGTCATGATGAACTTAATGAGAGATATAGATGGTAAACTAACAGCTCCCGTGCCGCCCTTCTGTGTAGTGTGGTGTTCCACCCTGTGCACATTTCAGTCGATTTCCTCTTTACGATGACCCAGGGAGGAAAGATTTTTATACCCCCATTTTTAAAACGAGGAAACTGAGACATGGAAGTACGGAGGAGGGCGCAAGCACTTCAGAGCCCTCGATCTAGATTCCAATCCCAGTTCTGCCCCTCAGTCTACCGGCAAGTTACTTCATCTTTAAAAAATAGCACTAGCCAGGCTTTATGGCTGCCTTTCATGTGTCAGGTTCTGTGGGCTTCGCCCTTTGCATTTATCATCTCATTTAATCCTCAGAACAATCTTTCTCCTGTTTTACAGATGAGGGAGGCACAGATAAGTAACTTGCCCAAGGTCACACAGTAAGTAGCAGGGCCAGGATATGAGCCCAGGCAGTCTGACTCCCAGGCCTGTGCTCTTCACAAGTACGGTACCGTCTCGGTTTCCTGTACCATGAAAAGGGAACAACCGTATGTTCTGTGAGGGTTAGAGGAAATAACTTCTGTAAAGTGCCTCGTGTAGTCGCCACACATGGTCGGCATCATAGATAGTGCTAGGCTATCATCACCATCACTATACCGTCATCGGTTAGATGACTCGCTCAGGGTTAGAGCTAATAACCGGCAAAGACCTGGCATTCAAACCCAGGTCCTGTGACTGAAAATCCGCTGGACTGTGGGGGACAAGATCTGGGGCAGTTTTTAGGTCACTGCCTCAGTGCCTAGTACAGTTTTTACCTCCCTGGTAGGTGCTGAGTGAGTCCTCACATAGGTGGGGCCTGTATTTTTCACTCATTCACCAAACATTTGACGAGGTCCTGCTGTGTCTCGAGGGACCAGAGAGGACAAGAATACAGTGCTAACCATCCTTTTTCTCCCCCCAGGTTCAAATGGTGAAAGATGGGGACCCCTCCTGGAAGCCCACTTTTATTGTGAAACCTGATAGTGGTTGTCAGGGTGACGGAATCTACCTCATTAAAGACCCCAGTGACATCCGCCTGGCAGGGACCCTCCAGAGCAGGCCTGCGGTGGTCCAGGAGTACGTCTGCAAACCTCTCCTTATCGACAAGCTCAAGTTTGATATCCGTCTGTATGTCCTACTAAAGTCCTTAGAGCCCTTAGAGATTTACATAGCCAAAGACGGACTCTCGCGGTTTTGTACAGAGCCCTATCAGGAGCCTCACCCCAGAAACCTGCACCACATCTTTATGCATTTGACCAACTATTCACTGAACATCCATAGCGGTAACTTTGTCCATTCGGACAGTACCAGCACAGGCAGCAAAAGGACTTTCTCTAGCATTCTTTGTAGGTTGTCTTCCAAGGGTGTTGACATCAAGAAGGTCTGGTCTGATATCATCTCCTTGGTGATTAAGACTGTCATTGCCCTGACTCCAGAACTCAGAGTGTTCTACCAGTCGGATATCCCCGCAGGGAGGCCGGGGCCCACGTGCTTCCAGGTAACCATCGCCAATTTCCAGCCTGAATTCTTGACCTTGATGGGGCCTTTGGAGGGCTCCCTGGCCTCGTGTGGGATGAGGGATGGGGTGGGACGGCCAGAGGGATGGAGGGGTTGTTGCTGCCATGGGCTTTGGTGTGAAACCGGGGTCCAACTTCCTGCTTTCTATTTGCTGGCTGTGTAATTTGGAGCAAGTTACTTCCATTTTCCTACCTGTAAAATGGAACCAGGAGTACCTCCCTTAAAGGACGCTTGTAAGAGTCAAACGAGATGTATGGAAAACACAGTGCCTCCCGTTCATTTGTTCATTCTTTCTTCTAGCAATTTTTACCACCCGCTTAGTGGGGGCCAGGCCCCGTTCAAGGCAGTAAGTCAGGTCCCTGCTGGCTGTTGCAGAGAGGCTGCTATCGTGGGAGACAAATAACTTAAAAAGCAATTAGTATAAAGTGTCCCAAGTGCTAGAATGGAGTAGGAAGTGTACCAGGCGCTGTGAGATTGGGGGACCGTCTAACATTTTCTGAGTGGGAATGAGGGTGGCTGGGAAGACTTCCCAGAAGTAGCAGCAGTTAAGAACCTGGAGTAAGAGTTAGATGGAGCAGGTGAGGCTGGATAGGGCTGGGGAGACGAAGCATCCTAGGGGAGAGATGTTTGCAGCCCTAGAGGTGAGTATGGCTGGAGGGTGGGGTTTGAGGCAGAGATATGGAGGGAGATGAGGAAGGTAAGGTGGAAGAGATAGGTAGGAGGTATGTCCTGGAAAGCTACGGGCAGTAGGGGCCACAGGAGGGTGCTAGCCCGGCACCGATGCACTCAGGTTTGTGTGTTGCAAAGAACCAACTGGCCGCAGGGTGGAGAGTGGATTGTGGGGAGACTGGGAGCTGGGTGGAGGGGGGAACTGGTGAGCCGACTGCTTTCCTACGAGCAAGAGAGGATGCTGGCTTGGATTGGGAAGGGCTTGGTGGAGTTGGAGAGAATAGATTTGAGAGCCATTGAAGAGGTAGAATGGCCAGACTTGGTGATTGGCTGGGGCTGGGGGGCAGAGGAGAGATGGTGGCAGGGGGGGCGTGGGGAGAACCCAGACCAACTCCCAGGCTTAGGCGCTTGGGTGGATGGAGAGAAGCCACCGATGGGGGACCAGCTTGTAGTGGCAGTGGGGGCAGGAGTTGGACTTGAACTTGCCTTTGAAGGACCTGCGTGACATCCAGGTGGGGAGGTTGGGTGGACATTGGGCATCTGGGCCTGGAGTTTGGGAGAGAGAGATCTGGGCAGGAGAGAGATTGGGAACATCAGCGTTCGGATGGTCACTGAGCCCTGAGCGGCTACAGGGTGAGAAGAGGCCAGGAAGACCCCCGTGAGCACTGCCATTCAAGTAAGGGACAGGCAGGGGGAAGGGGGCAGCAAAGGAGGCCAAGAAGAAGTGGCTTGAGCCATAGAAGGGATGTCAGGAGAGGAAGCAGCCTAAATGCTTGGAGAAGAAGCACGCGGGGGTCAGCCATGGCAAACGCTGCTGAGATGTCGTGTCAGACCCGAACGGAAAGTGTCCATTGCACTTACTGACCCGCGGGGTGATGGGACAGGGCGATGGTAGAGGACGAAGCCAGTGTGCGGTCGGGGAGGAGATGGGAATGGGGGTGGCGCATTCTTCCAGATCCTTTGGCCATGAAGGTTGTGGCGGGGGACTCGGAGTCCAGGCCCTTGGTAGGCACACAGTTTCCTGCCACCAGATAAACCGGAGTAGGGAACAGACGGTACGAAGGAACACCTCTGGGACCCTCTCCATCCAATCTTTATAGTTATTTTGTAGCAGTTAGTGTATAAGAAAGAATACATGGAACATGTATGTAAGCTACAAAGCAAAACCACCAAATCATCATCCCCAGCCCACCTCCCAACCCAAGATCCCCAATTACTGTGCTTCTCCCCCATCCCATTTCTCACCCCGAGGTAATCATGGTCCCGAATTTTAGGTTTATCATCTCCTTGCTTCAAAAAATCCTTTTATTATACGTGAATGTGTCCCTAGGCAGTATATTATTTTGCTTTGCTTGTTTTTGAGCTTTATAAAAATACTACGGTCAAGTCCATAGTCTTCTGCAACCTTCTCTTCCGCTCTGTGTTGAGTGGGTCGTTGGTGCTCTTTCGTCTGCACTGCTGGGGCTTCCACTGTAAATACGCACACTGCGTTCATCACTCCTTCCGTCAGTGAACATTCGAGTTGTTTCTGGTCCTTTACCTAAGACTGTGGCAGGAGAGAAACGGGTAGCGTGGAAGGGAGGGGAGGCAGTGGGGCAGCGTCTCTGATGCGTGGGGTGTTCCTTCAGCAGCAGAAGAGGAGGCTGGTCCCAAGGTGCGGCCCCAGATCCAGAGAGGTGACCCGGGCGGCTGGACACCCGTCAGCGGGATTTTCAGGCAGGCTGGCGGAAGCCTTTGCAGGGGGAATTCAGGCAGTGATCAGTTCCAGGAAGGGCTAATTGTCACCCAGAGGTCTGTCCTTAGGCGCTTGGCTCCAGGTTCTTGTTCCCAGGCAGGGTGTCTAGCTCAGCCATCAGGTAGGTGGCTTAGGGCCTTAGAAAGGGGAAGTGGGCAGAGCTTAGAGGCAGGACCAGAGAAAACAAGTCCTGGCTTGAGCCGTCAGAAGGTTAGGGCGAAGGAGAGAGTTGCAACTTGGAGGCATCCAGGGGTCATCCCGGGGGACTGTGTGGTCACATCTGTTCGACAGTGACAGCTATTCCAGGAGTATCATGTGGGCCGGCATGCGTGGCCAAGCCACAGAGCCCTGGCACAGCGAGGGTGCAGGGTGGAGGGCCAGGGCGGTGGTTTTGCTGCTTGTCTTGCTGTGGACAGGCGGCATGCGGCGGCCATGGGGTGGAACCAGGGGCCCAACTGGAGGGCCGACAGGGAGGGAGCCACTGGTTTGGACAGATCACGTCTAGCAAATGGAACCACAGGCCTGTGACCGTTTTCCACGGCTTGCCCACACGAAGTGCTGCCAGGCCTGGGGTCAGGAGAGGAGCACAGGCCGGAAGTAACCCTCCCGGAGGACCTTGTCCTCTTCCCAGCGGGGGGACCTCGGGCACGTTTCTTCACCACCCTGAGCCTGTTGCTTTCTCTGTGAATCCCCTACCTGCCTTCTTTGGAGGAGTGTGAAGTAATGAAGGCGAAGGTATAAAGCGATAGATGTTTAAAATCTGTTTTATCATATATTTCAGATGCATAGTGATTGAGAAAGTAGTTTTTTTTTTCTCCTTGGATTCCTCTCTTGCTTTCTTTAGTCTTATCACTTGTTAAAACACTTGGTAGTTTGGGTCTCAAGCACCTGAACTAACTTGGAACCCAAAGATTTAGGGACAACGTATGGTCTGCCATTGCCTTGCTGTGTGATTTTATATTAGTCACTTAACTTCTCTGTGCCTCAGTTTCCTCACCTACCTCACAGAGTTGTTGTGTGACTCACACAAGGTAAAGATGATGAAGTGCTTTGTGAACTCTAATGTTCTGTGCATACATAATGAATTATTTCTTTGTCATGGACACCCGTTTTGCTTGTAGCCTGGGCCTGGCCCATATTGTAGCGTTCCCGGACATACACTCAAAGCCAAGAAAATTACATTTATCTTAAACATGTGACCGTGACCCCTTTCCAATCACAGCCGCAATAACTACTTGGGAAATCGTGATGGCCCAGAGCAGGGGCTGGCACAGCCAGGCTGTGGGCAGGTTTCCTGTAATCTGTTGCCTAGGAACGTGGCTGCCCTGTCATTCTGGCCTGTCCCCCTGTCATTGCCCAGGCAGCCCCAGCAAGATATCCCCCGTCATTCTTCTTGAGGGCAGCTCTGTGACCCTGGCTTAAAGAGCCAGGTCCGTCTGGGTGTAGATGATTCATGTGGCAGAAATGCACACACAGAGGAAAGGTTTCTAGCTCAGCTTTCATGGACATTCTTTCCCAATTTCATCGCTTGGTTTCTATCTTCCTCTAGCTCCGGGTCCACTTTTCTCCTTGGCCGCGATCCTTTCCCCTTCTGTATCGGGAGGAGGCACCTTCCCTAAAGGCTGAGGTGCTTCTCCTTTTCCTTCTTTGCTCTTTTGATCTCCTCCCTCCCCGTCACCCCCAGACACCCCACGGGAAGGAGGCAAAGGAGCAGCCTGGGGCTCACGCTCTGGCTCGGGTTTTGTTCTCGGATGTCCCGGGCTTGAGCTAACCCCAGCTCCTCCTTCCAGCAACTCTAGCTGGAGAGCTTGGCAAGTTAACCTTTCTCTGCCTCAGTTTCCTTATCTGCAAGTAGAGATAATATTGTATTTGGACCGGCCTTACAGTTGTTGTGAGACTGAATGAGAGAAAGCTGTGTGGAATTCCAGCAGGTGGGAATCCCTTAATGAATGACATTATTATTACATTGTTTGTTATCTGTAACAACAATCGTTCTCCAACTGGTCTGTGAAGAAATGCCTTGAACTTACGGGGAAACCATGAAATATTCACATTTCCAACTTAATGGAACGCCGGTATTCCAAGGACCACAGTTTGAGAAACAAGTCCTGGCACTGGTTGCCTCCCAGCCTGGCCCCAGCCTCGCTTCCCCGTCCTCCCTGAGCCCCGCGAACCCGCCGAACAAAACTGATTCCTGTCTCCTGGACATCATTGGTGTTTCCCCCAGTTCTGCCTGTTTGTTCTGTCTTGGCTGCCATGCTCTCTCCTCTTCTCCCTCCTTTTTGAAATCCAATGCTGACAAGGTGGTGCTCAAATCCCACCTTCTCTGTAAAGCCTTCCTTGACCACTTCTGACATTTAAGCTTTTTTTTTCTTCTAGACACATTTGCTGGTCACCCACTGAGACAAGCCCTGAGCTAGCTGCGGGCCGTGTGGCCCTGGATAAGATGCGGTCTGTCCCTAAGAGGTGCAGTGTAGTGGGGAGACTGCCACGTGGGAGTAATAAATGCTGTAAGGGGGCATGTACAGGATGCAGGGAGAGCACAGAAAAGGGAGCAGTTAACTTTGCCAGTTAAC